ATGTTTAACTTCTGATGCTGATTACGATGTCTATATGCATTCAGGTAACAAGCCAACTTTTCGATCTTTGACATTATCTTGACCTCTACTGCATATTATTCTGGACACTGTACTTTCTACAAATTCGCCTTCACAGCCTGACAGAGCTATGAAAACTAGGTCACGCCATATTGCTCTTCATATATGCTGTGCTGTTGTAGCAAATTAGGCTTAACAATATCTTCACCTATCCATCATACCATCGGCTTAGTTTCCTTACCCCCTGCTGACATGTAATTGGCCCAGGCATCTGATCTCCTGTTCTTCCAGTCGCCCCGATTTAGACGAGGATGCACCCAAGGAGGCAGGTGGCGACTAATATATCAGTTCGGTCGACTTTTATGAAGAAATTTGCTGCTATTCATATCAAATAACTAATTGGATATCCAACAATTGGATCCATCAACATCCCTTCTACACTACATATTGGATGGAAAAACTTGGTACCATTTCATCGGAGACCAGAAAACATGCCTGGTTGCGTGGAGTGCAAAGCTAAATGCAAATAACGTGAAAACACTAATCACCATCAGCATAATTCACAAGGTAGGCAGTCACCGCGAAAGGTTACCTGTTGCTGCCATGGCATATCGGCAGTATTCGACAAATACAATTGTAATCCTTCCATTTCTGGAAGTCGATTGGCCTCGTTGTCGCAGCTTGGTCTTGTTGTCAAGGCGACTTAGTAGTCTCTTTGAAGAGTCAGTAGCTTGGTGCTGCAAATGGCAGCAATCCATTATGATGCCGACCACGATGCCGGCGAAACGTTTGAGAATGTACCAAGTCCACTGTCGGATGCTGGGAATCATGACAACTGCTATGGCAGACGACTTCGGACTATGTGCGTTCTACTTAGTCGCCTTGACGACAAGACCAAGTTGCGACCACGAGGTCAACCCATTTCTATAAATCGAAAAAAGATTGCAACCATACCAGAGGCCAAAACATTTTGGTCTTCATAACTTCTATTTCTGACTTTCCGGTGTGCTTGGCAATCAGGAATATTTGCTCTACCGACAAAAGGAGATATTGAGCTACACGAGAGAAAAGAATAAGCATAAATTTGTCTCATTGAAATGCTCATTTTAGCATCTGCCAAATTATCAATCAAGCGATTGTCGCTGGACTAGTGGGAAAATTCAACTACCGGTACCAAACGAAATAGGAAGAATACATATCATATGACTGAATTACTGCTAGTCTCGAAAGCTTAATTACAAAAGAAAAATACCTAATTTAGTCGAGTGTTTTAGTAAATATAACTTTGCTTAATCGAAATTCCTATCAAATACTGTGATATGGGAAAGTGCCTGATCTTCCATGAAATTCACATCTGACCTCTGACCCAAGTTTACGCGTGAAAATGTGACGTAATCATTAGCATATCGAGATGATAAGCTGCACTGCCATGCTTTATGTACCGCTGGGGATGTTGATAGGACCTAGGAGAGATCGAATCTGCAGTCCACTCCAGCCGGGATGAGAACACCTTTTGGGAAAGCAAGGCTATGCGAAATTAAATTGAAATATCAACTATACTCATATTATTGTGAGAAAATTCGATTTCCAGTCTTTTATCACCTTAAACGAAATTAAACTAAATAGTTTACTTTAGCTGGCATTATTACTTCAGCGAATAACACTTTGCGGTTTATGAGAAAGAATAATTATGTCCCACTACTTTCCGTAAGTGAGTAGGCTTTCGAGACTACCAGTAAATCAGTAATGTGAGATGTATTCACCCTATTTTGTTAGGGGTGATGAAGGTCTGGCGGTTGATTTTTCCCACAATGATATGTGTACAGCTGAAGTTTCCATTAAATATCGCATAGAACTGATTTCGCAAAAGATGTTCCCATCCAGGGTGGGCTGCAGTTTCGACCTTGCATATGTCTTATCAACAGCCAAAACGGGAGTTGAACTATGCCAGCGAAGTGTGTAAGCCCAACACGTTAACCAAAACGTCATATTTTTCGTATATAAGTAGAGTTTCGAGACTACTACATCACATATTACTAGGCACATTGCGACAAATGCCCTTGTGTCAAAGGTGAGACATTTTTCATATCACATTCTCTGTTTAGATTTTTGATGAAGCAAACTTATATTTGCTATAGGAATCAACAATATTACTTTTTTCGTAAATAAGTAGGTTTTCGAGACTCATCCATCTTGGATGAGAACATTTTTTTGGGAAATCAAGGCTCTGTTAAA